CGGTGGCCGGGATGACTGTGAATCAGTTTGACGAGGCCATTCGCGTGAATTTGATTTTGGTGCAAACACCTGATAGAGAATCTCATACAATTTGGCTAGAAAGCTCCTCACTTGCGGTTCAAATGGCATTGAAGGAGGCAAGATCTGGTGGCATCTGCCTGTCAGATGCTTCGTCTGTCAAGGTCCGCCTTGGTTACGTCGAGATCATATATAAACAAATATAAAAAGGATTTATACTATTTTGATAAAATAAGAATCGTACGTATTAAATTTGTTTTTATTTCCCTTTCTTGTATCAATACGGATATTTAATAGAATTAACTGATAAAAACGTCATAACTTCGGAGCTATTTCAATAACGTTCACTCAATATGTCAGCTTTACAAGGAAAACGCATTGATTAATATATCTCAAGAAGTTTTCGGGAATAAAAAAAGAGATATGCATCGAGTTGGCAAGTAAAGAAAAGCTCGAAGAAGTGTAATATTCGAAGGAAAAGTTGGAAATTTAATTACGAAAAATGATGCATCCTCATCGAAAAGCTGAAGAAAATATTACAGCCGTTTCAAATTGATTAGGAATGTAGCATGAGAAATAAAAAAGAAATAGAATAAATTTAACCATTTTTCTACTACGGCTCGGCATAAATATATAATTTTACGGAAGGGCATAAATAAATGGTTGCATCTATGTATATATGAAGACAATCGCATACACGGTCAGTTGTGTACTAGGGAATCGCGTAACTGGAGAAAATCGCGTACCAAACAATCGCGTACCTGGACATTTGCGTACAAGACAATCGCGTTCCTGGGCAAATGCGTACCAAACAATCGCGTAGCTGGACAATTGCGTACCAGACAATCGTGTACCTGGACAATTGCGTACTAGAAAATCGCGTACCTGGACAATTGCGTACTAGAAAATCGCGTACCAGTCAATCGCGTACCTGGGCAAATACGTACCAGGCAATCGCATATCTTAACAATTGCGTACCAGACAATCGCAACCGTGGACAATTGCGTACTAGAAAATCGCGTACCAGACAATCGCGTACCTGGGAAAATGCGTACCAGACAATCGCGTACCTGGGCAATTGCGTACCAGACAACAGCGTACAAGATTATCGCGTACCTGGATATTTCTGTCTCGAGAGAAATAAGTCCCTGGACAATTGCATACAAGACAATCGAGTACCTGGGCAATTGCGTACCAGACAACCGCGTACCTGGACAATTGCGTACTTGAAAATCGCGTACCAGACAATCGCGTACCTGGGCAAATGTGTACGAAACAATCGCGTAACTGGACAATTGCGTAGCAGACAATCGCGTACCTTGACAAATGCGTAGCAGACAATCGCGTACCTGGGCAATTGCGTACCAGACAATCGCGTACATTGACAAATGCGTACCAGACAATCGCGTACCTGGGCAATTGCGTACCAGACAATCGCGTACCAGATTATCGCGTACCTGGATATTTCTGTCCCGAGAGAAATGTGTCCCTGGACAATTGCGTACCTGGATATTTTTTGTCCCTGGATAATTGCGTATCTTTGATCATTTTTTTTTTAAAGCTTTTAAAAGCAATTACCATAAGTTTTGTAAAGAACCATAGGTAATAATCATGAATGTTTTAAAAAGGAATAAAATGAATTAAAGAAAATAAATGTTTATTTTTGTTTAAAATGAAATGGAAGAATAAGTGTTGCAAAATGGCTGCACATATCACCAGTATGTTTTTGTTTCATCGTCGTTTATCTTATAATACTGTTAGCTGTAATTTTCCTCGTCCACAAATATTTTTCCACCAGTGTTTGATTTTCGGAACTTGACCAAGAGTTCCAAATAAAAATATATTTTATAAAATCCAGAATCTGTTAGAATTTATTAGATGTTTGTGATACACTGGGGTGAAACGAAACTGCTATGTTAATTTTCTCTTTAAAAAAGAAAATATTCTCTTTTTTATTTATTGTAACTAACTTTCTGCTTCTTTAGAGTAATTAAATGTATTGGTGTGAAAATTTCTATATTAAATAGCTCTTTAAAAAGAATGGTAACTCCAAAAAATTATCATAGGTACGCAATTATCCAGGGTCGCAATTGTCCAGGACGCAAATGTCCGGGACGCAAATAATCCGGGACGCAAATATCCGGGACACAAATAATCCGGGACGCAAATATCTTTCCAACATATGAAATGGAGAAAGTCCGACAATTATTTTAAGACATTTTTATGTTTATACATTCTTTTTATAGATACAAATATTTAAGTAAATGCTCTGTTTTATAATAAATAGTATTAAACAACATTTACCGGCCTGAATGTCCGGGAAATTTTCATAGAAAATATTCGTCCTCCGACAGGAATCGAACCTGTATCCTATACGGAACCGTCATATAGCCTGACATGCCTTAACGGTTTCGGCCACAGAAAAAAAAAGCAGAGCATTTACTTAAATATTTGTATTTATAAAAAGAATGTATAAACATAATAATGTCTTAAAAAATATATTACATCAAATTCATCGAGTCTAGAAGAAACCTCAACAGAATGCAGAAAGCACTCGACGGCCGTTTCGTCCTATATTTGAGATACATCAGCAGTGCGCATCCACTACCGAGAATTGATACCTAGACAGTTACGTTATCAAGGAAACGCCATACCAAAATGTACCAACGGCCTCGGTGACGACGAGGTAACGGATCAAATTCGATATAGCGCCGCTCGATCACATATTCCGTGGTGGAACTCATCAGAGTTTCTCTTTTACCCATAGGACTGTGACCCCCCCCCCAGGAGCCACGACTACTATCACCAAGTCGCTCCATCTAGAACATATATAGACATATATACATACGCTTCTTAATTTCGCGCATGCGTGTTGTTTGTTTTTAATTTTGTTGATTACACAATATAGTAGGATCATTTGGGCACTTTCTGTAAGCAAAAGTTACAACGGCGCAATTCACACTACCAGGAATTTAGAAGTGGCATGCTGTACTGCTTGGCATTCGCACCGGAAGCTGCAATACGAAAATTTCAGAGTGCTTGGATGTCAATCTAAGGAAAGTGCAGCGGTTTCGGAAAGAGATGAATGAGTCTGATAAGAAAGGAACAATCGAATTTGTTTGTAAGGGCCTCAGAGTCAACACGGAGGCCTACATTAAGTGACTTGAGCAGGTAGTGTTGCCCTAGGTCAAGAGGGTAACTACTGGAAGACCCTATGTCTGGAAACAGGAATCTTCACCATGCCACAGAAGCAGTAGAACCCAGTCATTGCTATCAGAAATGTGGTCATCTAACTACCCCGACAGCAACCATCTTGATTATTATGTGTGGGGCGCAGTTGAGCGACAGACAACATTTCTTTTTAACGCCAACTGAAAGCAAGGATTATGGAAACATTCACCAACTTAAACGAGGAGTCTGTCCAGAAGAGTTGCAGGAGATTCCGAAGTCATATGGAGGGTTGTGGTTGAAGCCAATGGCGATTTTATTGAACAAATTTATTCTTAAATATTTCAAGATATTTTGGTGTAATTTTGGTAAATATATCTCTTAAAATGAGATGCCAGAGTTATTTTCATTTTTGCATAATTTAGACCACTCTCTCTCTCTCTGTGTGTGTATATACATATATATTTAAAGATCAAATGTAGATAGGAATCCGACAGGATGATAAAATAAAAGAACAAATAGGAAACGTATACTAATCCAACACATGTTTAAGTTTTATTAATAAAAATGAAACATGTATTGGTATACGTTTTCTGTTCTTTTATATTTGTGTGTGTGTGTGTGTGTGTGTGTGCATTTAGTATTTGTCGGTGAGATCTCATTAACTTACTGCTGAGCTACCTAGATGTAGCCGTAACTTCTACGCTGGCAGTTTTTTCTCACACTTCTCGCTGTTAGAACTCCTTTCCGGTTCCATGTTTCCCAGCCAACTTTAAGCTGCAAAAATTTAAATGCAATGTATTAGTGGCAGTATTCCCTTGTTTGATGCCGATTAAATATGTATGTATGTGTGTGTGTGTGTGTGTGTGTGTGTGTGTGTGTGTGTGTGTGTGTGTGTGTGTGTGAGTGAGTCTTGGGACCATGCCGCTATGTGTGGCGTGAATAAATTGTAGCATAAAAATGGTGAATGACAGAAAGAACATCAGAGAAAAGATAACCAAGAAAAATATGAAGAGTTCGAGATTCAAGCGACACTGAAAGGAACTTTGTGATGAGAGAGATTATGTCTCAAAATGCAATACAAGGTGTCGCTGAAAAGGCGGGAATATCTAACGACATCGGTGTGCGCATGACCATATCGAATTTCCTCTACTTTGAAGTTATTATGTAAATAAGATTAAAAGAAACTATGGCATTCACTTAATAGTCTTTACGTAGTTCTGAAGTCTGTTTCATACGTGCTGTTTCGGAAAAGCACGAAAGTAACAGAAAAATAAACATAAATCCTACTTGAGAAGTGTAACGGAACAGTTTTGGTGAATTAGGACAAATCGATTTGTTTGTTTGTTAGATTGGACGTGTCGATTGACACTGGTCAATGTGAAAGTGGAAATAATTTGATGAAAGAGTAAAAGATCAAATATTCTGGTATATTAGTGTAATTCCAAAGTGATGAAAATGATGGATTGACGTTTAACAGAAGGAAATATGTATGTATCATTATTGGATTATGTATTTCGTTTCTTCTTTTTCTTTTCTTTTATGTTCAAGCTGTTCCATTTTGTTCTATTATTATAGGTTTTTTTCAATCTTGTTCATTAGCTTTTTCATATTTCTCTACAAGAATAAAAAAAATCTGCTTTTATTTTTGTTTCTTTCCGTTTTGTTATTCCTTCGTTTAACGAAATGGTCGATTGATTTCAATATGGCTTCGTATATTCTTTCAATTACCCATCATTCCATTCAGTAAATCATGACATATTTTATTTCTTATTTGATATGGCTATTCTTTTTCTTTCTGCCTTCATTTATAGGTTTATTCTTTATTTTTAACAGATTGTTTCTCTCGTTCTCTTTTTTCAATCACTATTTTCATAATTTCTTTGAACTTCTCTTTCTCTTATTTTCCCTTTTTTTCTAAATACTTCATTCACGTTTTTCTAAGGTTAAACGTTTTTAGCTGGGAAAAATAAAAGGTATATTAAGAACAGATGAATCTTAGATAAATAACGTCTTGTAGCATCGTGAATATATATTAAACTAGCTTAGAAACCGCCCTATTGGCCTGATTCCGAAATGGGATGATATGTTGGCCTCTAGGAGTGAAGTTGAAAAAGTGTGACACACTGACACTGGTATTTATTATATAGAAGGAGACGAATTATTGAGAACTGTATCCCTTGAAAATTGTAACACACTGACATTGGCATTTATTATATAGGAGATGACCTCTTGAGAGTTATGTCCCTTTAATTGAAAAGGTGTGACACAGTGACACACTGACACTGGCATTTATTATAAGGAAGAAGGAGATGAGCTATTGAGAGTTGTGTCCCTTTAATTGAAAAAGTGTGACACACTAACATTGGAATTATTATAAGGAAGAAGGAGATGAGCTTCTGAGAGTTGTGTCTCTTTAATAGAAAATGTGTGACACAGTGACATTGGCATTTATTATAAAGAAGAAGGAGATAAGCTTCTGAGAGTTGTGTCCCTTTAATAGAAAATGTGTGACACACTGACACTGGCATTTATTATAAGGAAGAAGGAGATGAGCTTCTGAGAGTTGTGTCCCTTTAATAGAAAATGTGTGACACAGTGACATTGGCATTTATTATAAGGAAGGAGATGAACTATTGAGAGTTGTGTCCCTCCAATTCAAAAAGTGTGACGGAGTGACACACCGACTTTGGCGTTTATATATAGAAGAATGAGATTAGCAACTGAGAGTTGTGTCCCTTTAAATTGAAAAGTGTGACACACTGACATTGGCATTTTTTATATAGGTAAAAAGATAATACAAATATTGAAGTCAAACCTGTTCGAAATTTAAATTTAAAATCTAAGACTTAAATGCTCCGTCATAGTAGAAAAGCAGTTTCGGGGGACTTGTTTCAACGTTTAGAGTCACTCGAAATTTAGCGTGCCGAAATATTAAGCTGTTTTTAAGAGCTTCCAATTTACAATAAAGACTCGATCTTTCTAGGCAGATTCTAGTAGCTGCCATGACGAGGTAAAAATATACTACACTCAATCAGCAAGGATTTACTCATTACACCTCGAATTAACGTTTTCCTCTAACATGAAGTGCGAAAGAGTATATTTAATCAATCGCTAAGTCTGCATCCAGGACAGTTGACCCACTGCGTCATACTGGATAATTTTTCTCGCCGGTATCTATCTTGCATATTTATAATTCTACCATTCGTCCATTGTGCCACATCTGGTTTGGTTCACCTGCTAGTTATTTGGAGATTCTTGATAAAATCCAAAGAAGAATTTGTAATATTATTTGAACTGATCTGACCTTGCATCTCGACACTATTCACTACCCACTGTCGTACCATAGCTTCCCTGTCCTTTTTCTATAAATAATTTCAGAGTAGTTATTCTGATTTACTTTTCTCTATGGTACCTTTATGGATTTAAGCGCTGTATTAGATGGGCGGCAAGGTCCCATCTTTTATATTTGAAATGGCTCGATGTAAATAAGTTGTATGCTAACAGTTTCTTCTATCGCACGTCTCGTTTGGTTTCGTTTGGTTTCGTTTACGGCATATCAACCTCAATGGGTTATTTAATGCCGACAAACTTTTTATGGTTAGTAATATTTTTTCCTTCAAAAATATATTTCTGGCAATATTTTGTCTTCAAAAATGTATCGCTGGTGATATTTTTTTTCAAAAATTTATTGCTGAAAATTAGCAAATGGAAACAAACAAACAAAAAAAAATAAAAAAGAAAGAAAAAGAAAAAATGTAGAAAAGCCAAAAAGGTGTACAAGAATGAATCTTGAATACGTACATGTTACTTAGGCACGGTCAAAATTGAAAAAAAAAACTCGTGGTTCTTCGACGAGACTTAGCAAAGAGTGATTTCTTCGACTACACTCCTCTTTCACCTGAAACCGAGATGTGAGGGAGGGTAATCTGACCGTTTAAATCGAAAAAAAAATCACTTCACGACTGAAATAACCCACTTCTCGACCAACTTATATTCAAACTTAGAAAACTTAAGACGGGGTGAATTAACTTCAGCACCATTAGAAATAGGAAAGTTATAGAAACAAAACTAGAATAATTCTGGTATTAAAACCTATTTTTAAACGTTATAGTGTTTTGATACCAGTTTGGGGGGTTAACTATTTGCCCATAGCTGGGACCCTAACAGGTGCTACCACCCCAGATCAGGATGGACCTGGGAACATCATGCTCCTCAAAACCTGCTGATCAGAGGCTTTGCTGTTGGGCGTAGTTTATTGTCTTACCCAAGACATGGATGTAGTTTATCGTCTTATCCAGGACGGCGGATGTAGTTTATCGACTTACCCAGGACTTCCGTTGTCTTGCTTCATACCTTATATATAGTGATTCTTGATGAAATTGAAAGAAGAATTTGAAATGTTATTGGACATAACATAGCTTGCCGGCTTCAGTCACTTTCCCACTTCCGTAATGTAGCTTTCCTGTGCCTTTTCTATAAATACTTTTATGGTAATTTTCCAAATGATATTTTGTCCGTGGTATCTTGACTTTTAAGCGCAATAATGATTGGCGGCAAGGTTTCATTCTTTCACAGCTGAAATGGCAAGATGTAACCGTAATTTCTATGTTAATAGATTCTTCTATCGCACTTTTTGTTTGTAGAAATCTCTTCCGGTGTCTTGCTACTCAATCAAATTTGATGTTCAAAAATTTAAATTCAGTGTCAATCGTTATCTACAGTCTTCTTGTTATTTTATTCTCCCCATAATAATATATTTTTCTCATATTCTCTAACACCCAGTAACTAATTGCTTTATTGATTTGATTGGAATGAAATGATTAAAAATAAAACGTTAATTTTAGAGTACTGACTTTCATTGTGATCAGAAAACTCTCAGTGAATATCATCCCGCTTATGATATTCACTAATTCAAAACCGTTTAGTTATTCTAAAAAACAAACTAAATTCCCCATTAATGCCCGCTTTTTATTAGTTACAAATACAAATCAATTATTTTCTCAATAGTAATGCTCATATTAGCCGTTTTCTCTACAAGGAAACATTCGGCATCCATTGATCGAGCAGCCAGTACTACATTCGACTGAAATTTATAAAAACAATTCTCTTTAAATCATCTTTTAGGAAAATAGGTTTTTCGAGGCCAGTTGCTTTTATCTAGTATTGATAGGGATTTATTTCAGGAAACTATGTTTCTCAAGACCAAGACCTGTTATCGATTATTGATGGAGGCTTAGTCAGGAAAATATGTTTCACAAGGCCAGTAGCAGTTATTCAGTATTGACAGGGATTTATTTCAGGAAATTATGTTTCTCAAGTCTAGTAGCTGTTATCTAGTATTGATGGGGGTTATTTCAGGAAAGTACGTTTCTCAAGGCCAGTAGCCGTTATCTGGCATTGATGAGGTTTTATTTCAGGAAATAATGTTTGTCAAAGTCAGTAGCTGTTATCTAGTATTGATGGGCGGGTTTATTTCAGAAAAGTATGTTTCTCAAGGCCAGTAAATGTCATCCAGTATTGATGGGGTTTTATTTCAGGAAATTATGTTTCTCAAGGGCAGTAACTGCTATCTAGTATTGATGGGGGTTATTTCAGGAATGTATTTTTCTCAATGCCAGTAGCTGTTATCTAGTATTGATGGGGTTTTATTTCAGGAAATTATGTTTCTCAAAGCCAGTAGCTGCCATTCAGTATTGATGGGGAATTATTTCCTAACCTTATATTTAAAGTAGTATCGAATATCAACATCTTGATTATTTTATTATTTTCTCTACAATTTACATGTGATATCCATTTCAATTGTAGTTGTCGATGGAAATCCTCAAGTGGTGTAGTTTCTGTTTTTTGGTAGAGTTTTTTTTTAATTGTGAATCTGTAGCGCCAACTCACAAGGTTCGAAAAAATGTGGTCTCCGCCATGACCCACAGGCTTCACTTCCTCAAAGCCACTTCAAATGATTGGTCTGAGAAGGTGATTGCATACACGCTAACAGTTTAAATATTTCTGAATGAATTTTGCATCATACATGATACTGATATAAAAGACTCGATGTGACAAAGCTATTTAAGAATATGCCTCGTTTTTTCAGGTTATTTTTTTGTCTTTTTTCGGTATTGGGCGAAGCTGCCCCAAGCTTGCTACTAGGTTGGCATCTCGGTCCCACCCTTTCACTGTTGAAACATTTAAATGTAATCACTTCTGCTTCCCCGAAAAGCTTCTTCTCTCGCACTTCCCGACGGTAGAACTCCCTTCCTCTTATTGCTTTCCAGATAACTATAATCTTAAAGTACTCAAATGTAATGCCAATCAACATTTGCTGATGCCTTGATCTTGATCTGCGTCCTTCTCGTTATCCTTTTCCCAAACATCCCCTCTTTACTCTTACTTTTACTCCCTGTATCCCCTTGCGTGCTAGTGTTACTCCAGCCTTGCTTGGGGTGATATGCTTAAAAATATATCATTGTACAATTTTCTGCAGTGACTACTTAATCTCATCGCCTGAAGTGACCCGAACAAACTGTGATAGAATAAGGTCTGAAGATTGTATCAGTTTGTAGTTGACACACCACTTGTCTGATTTTTGTAACAGTTTTGAACTAAGTTTTTACCAATAGAAGTCCCAAGAGTCACTCAAAGTAGAGTGTTAGTTATGATTAGTAATAGGCGGAATCAAGTAATGATTACAAGGTTATGTAAGATGGATAATGATTGACTTAGAGGTTAGGTTTGTAGTCACGGAGTAAGCATCGTCTTTGTATAAAGCATTTTTAGTTGAACTTCTTCCTTACGAATGGAATAAAAATGTCATGAGGAAAACTGTGTGCGTGACATAGCCTGTCCTAGCTATAAAGGTCTGAACTGGAGGGACTACGGAATGTAACTCATCTGAATATGTACCGTGGAAATAATGATTGATTA